CCACGCCCGGGCTGATTTTTTTATTTTATTGTAGAGATGAGGTCTCGCTGCCCAGGCAGGTCTCAAACCCGCGGGCTCAGGCAATTCACTCACCTCAGCCTCCCAAAGGCGTGGGATTACAGGCTGAGCCACCGAGCCCGGCTGTTGTACTTCTTAATGTAAAACATCAACACTCTCCCTTTGGAGAAAAGTTGTAATAAACGCTAATTTAAGTAACATAAAAATGTTGCACGGGCCAGTTGTGGTGGCTCACATCTGTAATTCCAGCACTCTAGGAAGCCAAGGCAAGAGACTGCTTGCCCAGGAGTTCAAGGCTGCAGTGAGGTACAATCACACCACTGTACTCCAGCCTGGGTGACAGAACAAGACCCTGTCTCTAAAAAACAACAATAAAAAAACCAAAAACCATGTGACTAAAAACGGTAACTGAAAAAACAAAAACAGTGACTGAAAAAGATCTAAGATCTATGAATGACTTGATAAGAGCTTTCTCCAAAGATTACCTTCTGTTAAAATGACTTATTTAGAGTCACATTTTAAAGTGTTACATACAATCAGGCTTCATTTTTGGGACAAAAATGAACTTCACAAGGTAATTAACTGTAAAGGTACTCTCTGAGCGGCATATCTTTTAAAAGATATTTAAGACCCGGCTCGGTGGCTCAGCCTGCAATCCCGCGCTTTGGGAGGCCGAGGTGAGTAGATTGCCTGAGCCCGCGGGTTCGAGACCCGCCTGGGCAACTTGGCGAGACCTCATCTCTACAATAAATCAAAAAATTAGCCGGGCGTGGTAGCGTGCGCCTGTAGTTCCAGTTACTTGGAAGGCTGAGGTGGAAGGATCGCCGGAGCCCTGGGGCCCAGTAAGTCAGGGCTGCAGTGGCCGGGAGCGGCCACTGCACTCCAGTCCGGGCGACAGAGTGAGACTCCAACTCAAAAAAAAAAAAAAGATATTTCAAAAAATCAGTTCTATATTTGGAGCTTGTTATGATGTAACAATAACCTATTACCCAGAGAGAAACAGGAAGAATAATCCTGTAGTGTAATAACAGCACACTACTTCCTAGAGGGCTGGGATTCTAAAAAGAGACAAATTGGAATGTAAGTAGCACCTGGACTTAAAATTCCAACAGTATGACAACTATTGATACTGCATTCATGAAGGAAGGAATAGAGTTGTTCTGATTAAGGTTCCAAAAAACAAAAAAGAAACAGAAAGTCTCTATACATAGTTAGACCTACTTAGAAAACATTTTTATTTTATTTACATATTAATTCTCAAGATAAAGAGAAGCTGCTATGGGCTTTGCTGCTACAGTAGGCTTTATGATGTCAATGGCCCCATAACCAAGGAGCATAGCTGCATTCCGGAATGCAATGTCCTTTACACAGTCCTGGTTAAGTAACCCTATCATTCAAAGGCACAGCCACTTATGTAAGAGCAACAAACATAAAGAAAGACTGTGTCACAGAATTGTTAGATTCAACACTTACAGCCACTGTAGCAATCTCTCTGGCATGAGATTAGTAATGAACTCTTGAGATACAGAGGAGATATAAGGAGACATCCTATAATCAAAGCCAAGCACTGCAAATGGCAGACTTTGTATTTCAAAGGTGTTACTTCTATCAAAATGTGGCAGTCATGAAGGTAGCCTATTCCTAATTAAACCTTCCATAAGATGGCAACAGTAGGATTTCAACTGGCAGGTTCTCAAATAAAAAATAGAAACTAATGGCTGGGCATGTGGCTCATGCCTGCTATTCCAGCACTTTGGGAGGCCAAGGTGAGAGTATTACCTGAGCTCAGGGGTTTAAGACCAGCCTGGGCAACACGGTGAGACCTCATCTCCACAATAAAAATAAAAAAATCTGCAGGGCATGGTGGCACATGCCTGTGATTCCAGGTACTTGGAAGGCTGAGACAGAGGATCACCTGAGCCCAGCAGGTAGAGGCTGCAGTGGCCGTAGCATTCCACTGCACTCCAGTCTGGGCAACAGAGTGAGACTACAACTCAAAACAAAAACAAAACTCAGTGATCTAACCAGAATGTGACATGAACAAAAAGGGCAAATAAGTTAGATAATGCTATATCCGATATGCCACCAGTCTAAACACTCTACCTTCATTACAAAGCTTCACAGCACTAAAGCCACACTGTACACATTCAGTTTCTTCCTCTCCTTCAGCATTCAGCACCAATAACAACCCACAGTTGGGGGCCAACAGAGACTACAGAACTGGGACCTTTTTCAATCCAGACCCCATGCATCCTTGATTTCAGAGGCATAGTAAAATACAGAGATCCCTTTCTACATATTATCACAGTAAGCAGGAACATGCTACTCTTCTCGGTCATCCCACACCCTAAGGTTTTTTCTCATGTGATATTCTGCCACTGACATTTCTCTCCTTCATATTTCTCCCATGAGCTAACATCTTTTACATTTCAGTCCATCATTCCAAACTGTCAAGATCTTGATTCTGTCACCCACTGTAGCACCATCCCCTCCCAGTTTATCATCATCTTTGATCTGATAAGCATGCCTCCTACATCCTGCATCAAGCAGTGATAAAACACTAAAACATGGTGGATGGTGGCATGCCATTCAGCCTTCCCTCTGACTGATGAGTTTTTATTTACTAATGCATTCTCTTTCTTTTAAGTCGAAGTCTCAGGCTGGAGTATAGTGGCATACTCAAGGTCACCACAGCCTTGACCTGCTGGGCTTAGGACATCCTTCTGCCTCAGCTTTCCAAGTAGCTGGAACTACAGGCACATGCCACCACACACAGCTCATTTGTTTTATTATTGTAGAGACGAGGTCTCACCAAGTTGCCCAGGGTGACCCCAAACCCCTGGGCTCAGGCAATCCTCTCGCTTCTGCCTCCCAAAGTGCTGGGATTACAGGCATGAGTCACCATGCCTGGCCCTACATTTCTTTATGAGTCACAAGAGTGCTAAGCTCATCTATGAGTCAGAGCAATCAAACAGGCAAGGTTCCATCATTTCTGGAGACATTCTCAGATAAATGATTGTAGAAAATAATATGTAGCAAAAAATTATTAATAAAACTCTTACAACTCATAAATAAAGGGATAAATATCCCAGTTTAAAATTGAGCAAAGGATCTGAATAGTTATGTCTCCAAATTGTCAATAAGCACATGAAAGGAAGCTCAACATCATTAGTCATCAAAAGAAACGCAAATCAAAATCATAGCCAGGCATGGTGGCACATGCCTGTAGTCCCAGTTGCTTGGGAGGCTAAAATGGGAAGACTACTTAAGCCCAGAAGTTCGAGACTGCAGGGAGCTATGATCGAGTCACTGCACTCCAGCCTGGGTAATAGAGTGAGACTTTGTCTCTCTTTTTTTTGTGAGTGGGAGTCTCACTCGCCGTTCCCAGTCACCGCAGCCTTGACTTGCTGGGCTCTGGCAATCCTTCCGCCTCAGGCTCCAAGTAGCTGGAACTACAGGCGAGCGCTACCATGCCCGGCTAATTTTTTGATTTATTGTAGAGATGAGGTCTTGCCAAGTTACCCAAGTGGGTCTCGAACCCACGGGCTCAGGCAATTCACCTCAGCCTCCCAAAGGCACGGGATTACAGGCTGAGCCACCGAACCCGGCTTGGGACTTTGTCTCTTAAAACAACCATGAGCTACCACTTCACACTCACTAGGATGGCTATAATAAAAAATCAGATAATAACAAGTATTGGTGAGGATGCTGTGAAGTTAGAACCCTTATCCACCGCTGGTGGGAATGTAAAATAGTACAGCTGCTTGAAAAAGTCTAGCAGTTCCTCAAAAGGTTAAACACAGAGCTACTACATGATTCAGTAATTCCACCCCTATGTATATACCCAAGAGAAATGAAAACATATGTCCACACAAAAACTTGTGTGCAAATGCTCATAGTAGCATTACTTGATAGCCAAAAGTGGAAACAACCCAAATGCCCACCAATTGACAAGTGGATAAGTAAAATGTGGTACATACATTCAATGCAATATTATTCAGTCAGAAAAAGGAATGAAATACTGATCCATGCTACATGGATGAACCTTAAAAATATTATGCTGGCCTGGTGTGGTGGCTCAAGTCTGTAATCCCAGTCATTTGGGAGGCTGAGGCAAGAGGATTACCTGAGCTGGGGGATTTGAGACCAGCCCAGGTAACTTGGTGAAACCCTGTCTCTACAATATATAAAAAAATTAGTGGGGCATGGTAGGCGCACCTGTAGTTCTGGCTACCTGGAAGGCTGAGGTGGAAGGATCGCCTGAGCCCAGCAGTCTGGCCAATAGAGTGAGATTAAAAAAAATGCTAGGTTTAAGAAGCTGGACCAGAAGGTTACACAGTGGATAATTCTACTTATATGATGTCCAGAATAAACAAATCTATAGACAGCAAGTCAGGGGATGCTCAGGGCTGCTGGACTTTGGGGGAAATGAGTACTGATCACTAATGGGTATAGAATTTATTTTGAGCCAGACGCAGCGCCTCACACCTGTAATCCCAGCACTTTGGGAGGTGGAGGCGAGAAGATTGAGTCCAGGGGTTTGAGACCAGCCTGGGAAACTTTGTGAGACCTCATCTCTACAATAACTCAAAACATTAGCCGGGCATGGTGGCACATGCCTGTGGTTTCAGCTATTTGGAAAGCTGAGGCAGAAGGATCACCTGAGCCCAGCAGGTCAAAGCTGCGGTGGCCGTGACCATGCCACTGCACCCCAACCTGGGCAACACAGTGAGACTCCTAAACAAAACAAAACAAAAAACACAAAAAAAGAATTTATTTTGGAGGTGATAAAAATGTTCTAATATTATGATGATGACTGCACAAGTCTGTGATTATACATCCACTGAACTGTATACTTTATTTTTATTTATTATTTTTTTTTGAGTCAAGAGTCTCACTGTGTTACCCAGCCTGGAGTATTGTGGCATGTTCATGGCCACGACATCCTCGACCTGTGAGCTCAGGTGATCCTTCTGCCTCAGCCTTCCAAGTAGCTGGAACCACAGGCATGAACCATTATGCCTGGCTAATTTTTTGATTTACTATAGAGACGAGGTCTTGCCATATTGCTCAGGCTGGTCTCAAATTCCTGAGCTCAGGCAATCCTCGCACCTCCACCTGCCAAAGTGCTAGGATTACAGGCGTGAGCCACTGCACCCAGCTATTTTGTTGTTGTTGTTGTTTTTTGTTTTGTTTTGTTTTGTTTGAGTTGGAGTCTCACTCTGTCGCCCAGACTGGAGTGCAGTGGCCGCTCCCGGCCACCGCAGCCTCGACCTGCTGGGCTCCGGCGATCCTTCCACCTCAGCCTTCCAAGCAGCCAGACTTACAGGCATGTGCTATCATGCCCGGCTGATTTTTTGATTTATTGTAGAGATGAGGTCTCACCAAGTTGCCCAGATGGGTCTCGAACCCACAGGCTCAGGCAATCCACTCACCTCTGCCTCCCAAAGGTGCAGGATTACAGGCTGAGCCACCGAGCCCGGCTTTTTATTTTTTTTAAGTTGGGGTCTCACTCTGTCATCCAGACTGGAGTGCAGGAACATGATCACGGCTCACCATAGCCTCAAACTCCTGGACTGAAAAGATCCGCTCTCCTCAGCTTTCCGAGTAGCTGGAAAAATAGGCATGCACCACCATGCCCAGTTAATTTTTCGACTTTCCATAGAGATGAGGTCTCACCACTGGTTGCAAACTCCTGGGCTCAAGTGATCCTCCCAAAGTGCTCAGCTCCCAAAATGCTAGGATGACAAGCGTGAGCCATCATGCCTGGTCTTGGACTGTATTTTTTAAATGGGCAAATTGGGTCACACAGTAGCTCATACCTGTCATCACAGCACTATGGGAGGCCAAGACAAGAGGAGCGCTTGAGCCCAGGAGTTTGAAATCGGCCTGGGCAACATAGCAAGACCTTATCTCTACAAAAAATTAAAAAAAAAAACCAAGCATGTTGGCACACACCTGTAGTCCCAGCTACTTGGGAGGCTGAGGTGGAAGGATGGCTTGAGCCCAGGAAGATGAGGCTGCGGTGAGCTGTGATTGTGCCACTGGACTCCAGCCTGGGTGACAGAGTGAAACCCTGATTCTAAATAAATAGGTAAGTGGATAAATGGTATGATATGCAAATAAAGTTGTTAAAATAAAAAAGAATAGGGGTCACAAAGAAAAGGCTACTTTTTACCTTTCATGCTGACACACACAATAGCTGATACAGTGCATATAACAACTGCCAGGAGAACAATGAGAACAATCAAGTAGCTGCTGAGCAGGACTCCACCAGCACAGTCCAGCTTCTCTCTATGCATGAGATACAACGTGAGAATGCCAATCCACCTGTTGAGAAACAGGGAAAGTCAGAAATAGAATCCAGAAGCTGCTTTGTAAGGCATGATACAAAGAAATAAAAAGAGTTAATATTTCCCAAAACAAGGCACAGTTCACTTTCCAATATAATTTGCGTCCATAAAAGATCTAATAAGTCAACGTACAGCTTTCTTTTTTTTAAATGAACTTTATACTCGCCATGCTTATATCATTGTTCTTACTCCATGTCTGCTATAATCCATGAGAGACATGTAAAGTCATAAACAAGCAAAGATTGTGAACTGCTAGAAAATAGCCCCATCTTAATTCAGAAACACACAACTAGTAAACCAACAAACTGTATGCTTGCTATATTATTATTATTTTTTTTTTTTAGTTGAAGTCTTACTCCGTCACCCAGGCTAGAGCACAGTGGCACGCTCCCGGCCACCACAGCCTCGACCTGCTGGGCTCAGGCGATCCTTCTGCCTTAGCCTTCCAAGCAGCTGGAACTACAGGCGTGCACCACCACGCCTGGCTAATTTTTGGATTTATTGTAGAGATAAGGTCTCTCCAAGTTGCCCAGGCTGGTCTCAAACCCGTGGGCTCAGGCAATCCTCTCCCCTCGGCCTCCCAAAGTGCTGGGATTATAGGCGTGAGCCACCACACCCAGCCTGCTTGCTAGATTACTCACAAGAGAATTTTTGCTTTTGTGAATCCATAAGAAATTGACAAACACATGCTGTAATCTTCTGTGTGCAACCCCAGATCAAGAGGGTGGGAAGCCAGATGTTCCATGGAAAACACTGATAAACTTGAAAGATGTATTGTGGCCTCATAACTACATTTCTTAATTCAGTGAAGAACAATGAACTACAGCACCATCCAATGCAAAGCAATAACAGCCCATCGCTACAGGTATTTCAGTAGAAGACAGGACACCACTTGGCAAGAACACCCTAGTGAGGATTCAAGCCCAGAAGTGAAATTGGACTAGGTAACTGTTTATGTTTTTGTCAGTTCTGTGATATGAGGACCCTGCATCTAGAAATAATAAAGGGGAAATGATCACAGAAACACTTGGCCCTGAAAAGGATAAAATTCCTTGGAAACAGCTTATCCTATTTTGTGTTTTCATGTTACTTTTTCCCTGGAGAACCTACTTTTTCATCACAATAACATCACCCCTTGCCCAGACCCTCTGGGAACAGACTTCACGCACCAACGCCACTTCCCACGGATTCCACACTTTGAAAAACAACGGCGTTTACGTCGAGCCCGCTCGCTTCTCACGAAATTCAGCCACGACCGGTTCGAGAATGGCACTGAACCCTATTTTCTCCTCTCTTTCATTTTGCAGATTCACGTGCTCGGCTCTTCCACGCAGGTGGTGGAATGATGCCAAGTGGCGGCTCCTGGCTCGAGAAAGGAGACCTCGAGGCCATGGCTTTTGGTCTGCAACGACGGCCTCCCGGCTCCCAGAGCCGGTGTCAGGGCCGAACACAGAGGGGTGGCTCGTGTCCCGCAGCGCGGACTTCTGAAGCCCCTCCCCCGTGTGACCCGGGGTACAGCGCACCCGCTCTGGACCTCAGGTTGGCATCCGTAAAATGGGGCAGCAACAGTCCCTACCTCCTCGGGCGGAGGTGCGGACTAGAGAGAAGAACGCACGGCATGCCCCGGGACTGGGTCAGCGCCCGCTAAGCTGGTCACTTTTACCAGGGGGACAGACAGCTCGCCCCCCGCTTCCCGCTCGACGCGTCCCACGGCCCTCCGAGCCGGCCGCCCTTACCACAGCACCCGCAGGAACAGCTCGAAGAACCCCGGGAAGACCAAGTCGTCGCTGGCGATGGCCCAGCGCCGGCCGAAGAGCACCATCCCCGGCATGGCGAAGGTGCTGCCGCCCGGCCTCAGGCCAGC